ATCCTTATTTTGAAATGCACTTCGACTGATCTGAGGAAAAAATCGTTACCAGGGTGGAAAGTAACAAGTAACAACTAGAGGTTTCAGATTGGATCCTTCACAGTCATCATTGAGGACCAAGACCAGACGTGCATATGAAGAAGTAGTCGTCTAAAACAACTCTGAGACACTACTTCCCAAGATGCAAACCCGCTCTTCGGACATCATCAGGAGAGTCTGTGGATCCTCCCAGTTTCCTTTTAACTGGTCCCAGTTCCAGATAGGGAAGCGCCATCATAACAATTAAATCCACTCCATCTCAGAACCACAAGAGCTTCAATATGTGCTTAGTAAACTGTTCTATCATAGAAGTTCTGATTCATAGGCAAAACGCTCCACCCTACGAAGGACTTGATCCCGGACCTGTAGAGTTCCGAAGTATTGCCATCCACTGCGCTACAGAGCACCCCAATCCTTCGTCAATGTCAATGCTAAACTTAGTATTAATAGTGCTTCTCAGACTCACGCTTCCTCGCCCATCTTTTTTGAAATTAAGCTGGAAGGCCCGAACAAGAGGGTCTAAAGGTACTGCGATGCGACCCGAAAGGTAACAAAAGGACTACCTTGACATGAAGTTGAACCAAATAAAATTTGTTCACTTTGGTAGGCACCCCTTGTTTTTTCATAGTAATCCCTTATCTTCCGCAATACGTCCCCTACTTCCCTTCCCCGGACTTTTCTTCAAAGTTCAAGAGTCGTGGTCCAAGAATGAAAGACCATTGTCCCCAATGAGCTATTAAATCTTGCAGTTCGGCAACTCTACGACGGAAGTTCGTGATTCTTAAAGAGTTAAGTGCCTTCGTGCTGGGTCACAGCTAGTCACCACAGGACACCTACCCTACATAAAAGCTAAGCCTGCCTGTCCTTTCTCCGATTTACAACCAGAGCCCCTTGAAGGTTTTTTTCATAGAGGGATAAAATTACATAGTGAGAAATGGGCACACAGGAAGTACTTTTCTCAGAAAGTGCTACAATTTCTTTTCAGCAATCTCCGGTTACAACACAATAAAACGTTTTTAGTTTCTAGTATTTCAGGGTCAAGGACATAGAAAGCGTAACACGCTGATTACTCCCTACGACGAGATTCATCGTCAGCATTGGCCCCTATTCCAGAGGGACCACTACTCAACACTTGGGGGCCGAAATCGGCCAAGCCGTACAGCATGTCGTACATGCTAAAGCTGAGAACTTATCATGAATGTACCATATGGAGGTTAAGCAGGGTGCCAGGAGGATCGGTAGAAGTCAGCGAGGGTTTGAAAACCACCAGAGACCCAAGTCTAGCAGTTAGGACATTGTCTTAAAGTCCAAGACAGACTTGTCACCAGTGGGCTACTGTGTCAGACTATTCCGGAGACGTTCTGTCGGAAGTAAGATACTCCAACAGCTGTCCAGAACTCACACCAGACAAGTTTGACGTGGGTTATTACAACTTGAAGTGCCATCTTGTCCGAAGAACTACGAACTACGTCTTCAACGGCAGTAATACGAAACTGACATGCTGCCACTCATAAATTAAAGAGTACATACTTCCGTGAGTTCAAGTTCAAACTAAGAATTGTCTGGACACCCTAATTAGATTTCGTGAACTTCTTGAAATAATAATAGAAAAAGTTTATTGCATACTTTCAAAAGAATTCTAGAGCTCTACAACCCCCTCCTTTCTTGTGCAAGACGAACTTAAAGAGCCCTCTTCGTGAAAGTGCAGTCTTTGAGGTTTCGAGATGTTCAACAGAACGTCGAGGAGGAGCCTTCTAAGAATGTTCATTCACTTCGTACATCCGGTAGAGAAATTGAAAAAAGATTAAATTAGAAAGAAATGGAAAAAGGAGCTCATCAGGTGTCACGTGGTACACCGCAAAAGCGAAGGCTGAGCCGCAGTTTCATGACGGGTACTTCAGGGGTTTTACTCTTACTCAAGCCTTTGGTGGACTGGCGCTCGACTAAGCCCATCAGTCATCCTTGGAGAGAATCAACACAACGAACCGTCAATTTTCCTAGCTATGTAAAAGTTAATACTCTTTATAAACTTACTCTCAACCCTCCCCCCTGCCCCCCTCCCCCCATCCAGTTCTGAACGCAGATATAATACGTACAGGACCAAANAGTCTACAGTAACTCTGACGTTCACAAAGCTGGGAAGCTCAAACAGACAAAATCCAGCTGCTATGAATAAGAACGAGCCATTGGGAGTGCGCCATGTTTTTAGCACCTATCTAGAAATATGAAGGAGCTGGAAGTAAATATCGTTAACATGCCGCGACGGGTGTTCCGGCGCTTTCAAGGGGTTATTGGTACTTCGAATAATTTTGCTGTCCTATTTCCCTGATCAGTTCAGGATCAGAACAGCAGTACTTGAACAGCATGGAGTGGAATATTAGTCTTTAAGTTGAAAAGCCGAGGAAACAATCTCTATGTTCTACGGTGAGAACCAACTTATTGAACAATTGTTAGAAAACACAGAGCGGCATATAAACGATATTACCTTCCGCTCCTTTATATTGCTAGATAGGTGCAAGAAACATGGCGCATTCCCAACGGCTCGGTCTTATTCATGGCAGCTGGATTTTGCCTGTTCGAGCTCTCCAGCTTTGTGAACGTCAGAGTTACTGTAGGCTATTAGGTATTGTACATATTATAAGATTAAGATTAAGATTGCTCGAAGATTCAATATCAAGGCCGTGGAAGGAAGAAAGGGTGACAAGGTCGATGTAACTTTACGAAGACTAGCCAAAACCATGCCAAAATTCATTGAAGTTCGAACTTGGAAGCTTATGGAGGGACGTTGGTGTTTGGTTGACTCCCATGGATGAGGAATTTTTTGAAGAGAGCTCAGTGATGGAGTAGTGGCCATTGCTTTCGTCAATGTTTAGTGTGGCTATTGTTGACGTCAAAATTCATCGTCGTCTGACGTCTTCAAAGCTTCAATGTTCGTCTTGAAAACAATGAAAAAAATCGTCACTTCCTCGTATTCGTGACAATTACAACGGAACTTTGAGGAAAAAAATCACTAGCACTTTGTAGGATAGCTGGCATCCATACTTAATTACTTCTTTGATACTCGAGCCTTTTTTGCCTTTCCTTAGCCAGAGAAGTTTGCTGTTAAGACATGGTCCGTTGACAGTTCCACAGTTTTCAATAAACTTCCAACACAGTAGATGGTGACGGGGATTCAGGACCACAACATACACGAAACACTACAATTGGAAATGTCCGGGGACTGGGAACTGCTTTACAAATCATCTCCCCTCCAATAGCGTTGCCTAGGGAGTGTAGATTTCAACACCAAAACTCCCAAATTCAATTTCCATGAGAGATGGAAACCCTTCTCGTAAGTCTGTTTTTGTTGTTTTGACGTAGGCCACGTAATAAAATTATGGCTTACCTAGCAACCACCCACTAAGATAAATCATCTGGTTCAGCCACCAAATTGCCTTCATTCGGGACAGCAACACAATAAATAAATAAAAAGGGATATGTCTGGAATACTAGGTTTGTAAAAAAAGCCTTACTAGTAAATGAAGAGCTTCCATAGAAACCGAAGGTATAGCGGGCAATTTGGAACTAAACACGGCTTGAAATACGAGGTGATCTTCACATGCCTGTTCCGGAAACTCGTCCAAAATTAGGGCTTTCATAGGGCATGGCGCAATCCTGCGTCCAGATGTTGCAACAGCCACTGTTTTAACTCTAAGCTATTGAACAAATGACACATTAGCTTTGGCAGTAACCTTCAGTCCTTTATTAATAGACTATATATCCTTCCAAAGCTACCTCTCTTACCAGTAGCAAATTTGATTGATTACTAGTAGCGAGATAAAGCTGTCTAGCTATAAATAGATATATTTTTNCTATTTCTAACCGTATATAAATAGCAAGGTCCGAATGAAAGGGGGTAAAAACTCAATAGTAGCCATGCACTGAGCGAAGAGATTGTGGTGGCAGGTGCCGTTTATGAGCATCCAACTCGAACCAATGGCCATCTAATCTCGTCTAGTGCATATCGTAATTTTGTTTTTAGATCATTCAATTAAAATAATGGAAAGATTGGCAAGGAAGAGCATATGTGCATTGAGTGGTTCTCTGATTTGAATTTAATTAAATCCCCTCTGAAAGAAACTACTAAAAAGAAAACTTGTTGCCACGATACTCTACACATTCCCTTTGCTGTTAACTACGTGGAATAACAGGAAGCATTGAACGAATTTCATATCCTTCACGGTTTTGCACCTTCAACCATCCATAATTCATCATGCATGGCTGATGATCGTTCTACGCCGGTCAGCTAGCCTATTTTTATCTCATATCCGCCGCCGGATTCCGGTGAACATGTAAACGATAAACGCCTTTGTGACTGCGACAACTCGTCCACACGTTCAAATGCAACACATACACATACACAAATCATTTTATTTTCTAGGTGACAATTTGGTCATTGAAGTGCAGCAGCATTGGTCGAAAGCTGCGAAAGTGACGGCCAGCTTTCTTTTGCCAGCTTGTCGACGACTCCGGGACTGGCGGAGGTGCACATAGAAACGAGCGTGTTGGTGTTGGATCGCAAGCGAGAGGCGAGACGCAGAAATGTGGGCGGATCCCCTGGGGGCATTGCCTCGGACACTCGCACGAAAAGTCCTACGTCTTCTATCGTTGAAGGACAGAACTCGGTCTGCTGGTCATATTTATCATTTCATAGTTCCTCACTTATAAAACATGCCAGTATTCAACACCACAAGTCCATTCTTCTACCAGTTCGCCGCCAAATTCACTCCTTCAAAGGGCAGGGTCTCATTAGGAACACCATGGTCCACTGATACCAAAGACGATTCCAGTCTTCTTGCTCCCAGATCAAATTCCCGGACCACCCACGCTATTGAGTTTCGATTTCGCTTACTACTATTCCGTAACTGAGAAGTATTCTAATGTGTCGGCGCCCCTTCTGGCCCAATTCGCAATTCCCAGCTGTGCCTCCCGTACGTATTCCACGGACCAACAATCTAGAGTAGACAATTTTTGGAGACCTACTCTTTCTCTGCAACATATCTATACTGCTTTACTGATTACTTACTCATTAGATAGAAATTCCAGTTATTACCAGTTGATTTCAGGTGTGAACGTGTATCAAAGTTGTGGCGATCAGTGGCAATGGAAGCTACCAGATCAGAAACAAAACCAGTATGGGTCTATGTAATTTTTCGAAAAAATCATTGTTCAGGTAAGGTAGAAAGTTTTTCAAAGCTTTACCCCCACTGGGAATACTGTAAATTCTTTTCAGGACACGAAAAAATGACAGTGAACATCAGCTTTGATGGGCCAATTTTTTGGAATCGTCAAGTCGCCTATATCTACTGCTGCTCCTGTCACTTTGAAGAACATGAGGCATGTCTAGTTTTTATATTGGCTTAATATTAATGAGGCCTCCTTACTTGCCGTTCCCCTTTTGCTGATCTGCATATTCCAGTACTTCTAAGTAGTCGTTAGCTCGATGACTTGTATAGTCCGAGTCTGAGCCTATGCGGCTTTCTCTCCCCCCTAATAACCTTGTTTTGCTGGACAACGCTTCGACGCATCTTTCATAACGCGAACCAGTGTAAACAAGACTTGACCCTAGGATAGACCATTTGGCTGTGGCTGCATCCAGAAAACAAGTTGGGTTAATTTTTGGTCCCATATCATCACTTGCTGAAGAGCCGATGACAGCTTTCCGATAAAATCCAAGTAATCATATCGTTTTATTGCAAATCAATAATGTAGACTCATTCCCTTGGAGTTGGTTGACGTCTGCAGATGACATGCAAGAGCCCCTATAGATGATTCCCATGAAACGGGAAAAAACGCCTGTTCCGAGCTAGCAAATCACCGACTTTGTCTAGACCAGAAAATGCATTGGAGAAAGGCTATAAGGACGAGTTGGACGGGAGGATTTTATAGATCTCGTAACGTCGCTACCACCATTGTTAATAGCCATCGGATCAAATCTGTCGTGGTCGCAATTACACACATACACACACACGCATACACCACCATGCACACGCACACACATTAGCTGGCACCCTACGGATTGTGACGGCTCTATTGCAGCCTATTGGGATCCTACTAGTGATTTATCGGTTTGTAGCGACTAGCCACAATTGCCGTTTCAAACGGGACGGGCGGACATCGTCATTTTGACAATTGAGAGGACATCGAACCACCACAACCAACCAACGACCACATGCACCCCACTAAATAACAATGGTCTGCAAGTGCTAGGCCCTTCTAGTGCTAGGCTATTGCAAAATGCAAAGCGAACACAATCAATACGCTTGCATTACTGCAACAATTAGTACTAGTACGCTTCTTCTTGTACTATATGTTTTGTGTTGAAGAGTTCAGAGTAAACATTGGTTTTTGCTCTAAAGACGGAAAAAGTTATACTTAAATGTACTGTGAATTACGACAGGACGTACCGGGATAGCTTTCACCTCTTGAATTGGAAATTACTTTTTTGACAGTTACTGGTAGTAGCCATGAAATGATGAAAAAAAAAGCAAAAGGCCTAATGAGTACGGGACGGATCTCTCCAAATGCTCTCTTCGATCCAGGTCGGGACCATAAGCGTGGCGCGTTCCTCCTAGACTTATTACCGATGATAACCCCTCATTCTAACAGTGTGTACCATTGATAGTAAACTGGTATGCCCTATACCTCCTCCCCTATTATCAAATAATTACAATCTTTTCATGTTCTTCCTTTTGGTCGAGTGAACGCCGTACATGAGGCTGTTTTTAAAAGTCAAATGTGAGATATTAGGATGATTCAGACGATTCCATATTTTCAATGAAAATCAGGGCCTCTCAGCTTAATTTACAAATTACTATTACTTTTTAAGTCTTGTTTACTCGAGTGATAGTCGAGTACAGCATGTGTAATGGGGCGAGTCAGTGAAACCCTTACGCCGAAGAGAAACCAAAGATTTAGCCAGAGCTTCTACTCACCTTACAATTATCCTTGAACGATTTTATGGGAGTCAGTGCTGGGGATTAGATCCCAAAGTTAGAACAAGCACAAACAACGCCTCCAACCTCTGCGATATCTCTGCAGTAGACTACAAGGTAGCCCGAAATTCGGGAATTCCAATAGAAATAGATGGGAGCATACGGGCCAGCCCAACTTTCGTCATGTTTTGAAGTCTTCTGGCTTATGTAAACCCGTAGATCACCTACTCCATAGAAATTTACCCGACTTTATATCGCTATTCTGTTGTTCGACGATTTCCATTTTCCGGACAGCTGAAGCCAAACATTGGCACCGAACTCGTTAAAAAAGTTTATTTTTGACGAATTGACCTCACACGAAAGTTAAGCTCTAGGGATTCTACCACTCTAGAAAGCCGTCAAGAGCTCAGTCCTCTTTAAGCCGTACAGCTCAAAGAGCATTCTGCTTTGAAGGGCAGCCATGAAATCGCTCGTAAAATGCTCTTTTGAGCTGAAAGATTCGACCGACAAAGAGCGTGATGCTCTTAAATAAACACATCATCATGGAAAGCTGCCGACGGAAGGGTTTTGATATTGAATACGTTGAAATCTAGTCGTGAGATCAGTTGCTATTTCCGTAGCACTCAATGGCTGCATCTCGATGCCATATTGAATTACTGCTTGCTAGTCTAGCTTTTACTACTTCCTCGCCGCCCAACTGGAAATGGATCATAAAGCTCAGAATTGATGGCATCATACTTTGCGGGGTTTTGCTGTCAACAATTACGCCCACTTTCTCATTTTTACGAATACAAGTATAGAAATGGTAAAAGTTTTGGCTGATAGCTCAAACACTGACATCAGACGTCAGCAGTTGCAGTAAGGTAAGCCTACTTGTCAAGTACCTTCCTAAGAACTCTCCAATTCCGATTACTACGAAGCTGACTTACCAGTAACTGGTTTCTAGCTGAAGAGTCCCCTTACTTTCCATTCTTTATCCCTAGTCGCCTTTTAGTTCCTGCCTAATAGTTATCGCTTTGCTAAAAGGGCTCACTCGGGCTATCATTCGTAGTAATGGGTTACCAGTAAGACGGTACAAGACCCATCCTAATAGTGGCGAAGCAGCTGTCAGACAACTAGGCAAGACTCTGAAGCCCTACTTGCCTCGGCTGAAGTGAGGCTGAAAAACCCCTTGGTTCCGGACTACAAAAAAACTACTACCAATCACTGCCTTTGTACGTTTTGCTATTTTTTCAAGACAGCAATGCTTCTTTGGCGCATTCATAGTTCATTTGTAGATTCCAGCGTTTACGTCGGGCAAAGTTTTTTTGGAGGAAGAATCGGCACGCACTAAGGGCATGCATTGTCGTCATATGTCAGAAAGGCTAAAACTCCTTTCTCAGAGCTACTATTTACTATATAAACACTTCTAAAGCTCCCCATAAATAGAAATTACTTCTGAGAAGGAAGTCCTTCGGGAAAACAGCGAAAAAAGTAGCCTAAAGAAGTTTCTGTCACGTTTCATCGAGTATTTTTAGCATTTTTCGAAGTAAGAATGGAGGTTTATTAGAGTAAGAACAAGCAAATAAGGTTACATATGTAAGCTCGGAATAGTCGCGTGAAGTAACTAGTAACAGTACTGTTTTTAGGGCCCATTGATGGCGATATTAGGCAAGTTCGAGCAACGTGTTGAACGTATGTGCTTAGTGGACCGTCCAGTAGATTATCCATTCCTACCCGATTCAATGTTCTCCTATATGGCCAAATGTATGCCAAAGTTACAAGTAAGTTCAAGTAAGCAGTAATTTCAGTGTGAAAATAATATGGTGTTGTTTACAGTTTATTTACCTTCGCGAATTGGATCTAGAGAAGATCAATCGTGCCACAGTGGTTGAACTGGCAAATCATAGCACATTAAAAAAGGTTTGTTAAGCATTTACCAACAAAACTATATTANCGTCCAGTAGATTATCCATTCCTACCCGATTCAATGTTCTCCTATATGGCTAAATGTATGCCAAAGTTACAGGTAAGTTAATCTTAGCAGTATGTTTAGGGTGAGAATGATATGGAGTTGTTTACAGTTTATTTACCTTCGCGAATTGGATCTAGAGAAGATCAATCGTGCCACAGTGGTTGAACTGGCAAATCATAGCACATTGAAAAAGGTTTGTTAAGCAGTTGCCATCAAAACTATATTATTTTTATTAGTATATCAAAACTTTGCGATATATTTGGTAGCTCACGGATCTCTGTGGCTAACAATACCACCTAACTGGTTAACTTGTCCGGATAAGCCTATGTTGCCCGTTAAGCTCGTCCTCCGAAGCCAATTCTAACCCTGGGATCAAATTGCACAGAATATCGCCTAAGAGCCATTGAGGACTGCGCAGATTACAAGTAGCTATGTAGTAATGACGTGGGCTCCCATCTATTCCTTGGAAGCCTGGATTTTTTTATACTTGTACTTGTTACACCTTTCTGGTCTTTGGGTTGTCTTAAGCAGTAATGCCAGTCATTGCGTTTTCGCTCATGAATGGGAAATGAGTAGACCAGGCAGCTTCATGAAGGCTAAACGAAAATCTGGGGTTTCTTTAGGACCAGTTTGCTCACTATACCTACGCTGTAAGCTCTATTGACCAAAAAAGGAAAGTTCTGAAAGTCGGTCGACTCTTTACTGGTTAATTTAACAATTCATAAGCAAAGTGGTGGCCACCCAAGGTGCTATTCTGAAATACTGGTTATACACTCCATTGAAGTACAGTACTTTCGTTGTCAACGGATTAAGTTAAGGAAGCCTGATTGACCAAATATGTTTCGGTTTTTGTTGTTGTTTATTCTAAATTGACTCAAAGTAGTCAATAAAAATCACATTAGCTCACTACGGATCCCAGCGTCCTAGCCTTATCACATTTACTTCTCGCTCGCTACGTGGGATACTAGAAAGCACATCCGAAAAGACCAGGCTCACATCTCTGTCCCAATCACGGTACATTCAAAGTATTACTATTACTAGTATAGTGTATAGCACTTTTTTAATAGGGATGATGGCTATCGTACTAGTAGGGCGGCTAATAAGTTATTCCTACTCTCAAAAATCTCCAGTTGCTTGGGTTGTCTCTGGTATTTGAGGAGCCTTAGGGCATTCAGTCTGACACAGTCAAGCTGCATCCTAACTGAAGCTCACCAAAATAACAGAAATCTGGCCTAATAAAAGTTCTGAGCCGAAATAGACTTGAAAGAGTGAGAAGGAAGTGTTAGATTCGTAGATTCCCAAATGGGAAAGCGCCCAACAAACGAATTCCAATCAGAATCGCCTGTACATACTGCACGGTAGCTTACGCAATGGCCCGAAGTACTCAGAAATTAGTAGTATTTTTTTGCCAGGCGTATTTTACATCAGTCACTTAGAGGAGAATTGGCCGGAGCGATTCGACCCAGGATTTGATCTCCCGATCACCTCGTGTGATAGACCTCCTGGATGCCGAGCCATAACAGAATCCACCTCTACTACTAGTGCTTCGGCAGAACCGATCCTGACCCTTTTTTGGAAGCATCTTCAGTTGTTCCACGATTTTGGTGGAATCGCCAGACTTTACCGTACTATAAATTATTGCTATTCTAGCGATGTTCCTAGAGGGCATACTACTCCAATCACATTGTTGATTTCGTCGGGAATCTAGCTATGAGGGATGAGGAAGTGGAATATTCCGTTGGGACACGGCTTTCAGGATGAACTTGTAGGACATGGCTCCCCAATAATTCATAAATCTTCAGAGGGGATGATGGACGTCTTCAGAAGAAGCAGTCATAATACATAACAATACAATGTCCTTTAACTATAGCCTTTTAAGATTTAGCTCTTCAGTTCTTTCGAAGGACATAAAGAGGACCAATACTATTACCAAACACGACAGAGGCTTATGCATTTCCTAGGCAGTTCCCATTTTTAATGGCCCTTGAGAGGCCGGAAAGTGGAATATAGCAATGTCATAAATATACAATGTAACATACCGTAGTTCCATGGTCCCAGGAGGATAATGTAGCTTTTACGGTGCTTTTTCAGGTGATCGTACATGGTTGCCGAAATTATGAAGTACTTGAAGATTTCCGGAATCTTCCACAGCTCCTGGTAGTACGAGGAGAAATTCTAGGGCTAAAAGTAAGTAATACTAGTAATTTAGTAATTTACAATGTCTTAAAAAACCATTTATTACCAGGCGATGTTGGGCGATTTCGAGGAAGAGCAGCCAGGCTCGTCACCGGCTTCGCAATCGCTATCCCAATCGATGTCGCAATCGATTTCCGAGACCAGTGACCAGCCGGATACGATCACCGTTCAGGTGGCCACCGGTCCATAATTTGGCCGGTCCCCCTTATCATCGTCGTTACTATCCCCCTTTCTTCTGAATCACGTGTAAACTCTGCCATTTACCTTTCTCAAGCCCCTTTCCCCTGAGAGTAACGTCAGCGATTTACCAGTAACTTTATATTTTGCATTATATGACATATTATGTCCGGAAATGTTGCAATTTTCACTGCGATGTGACGATTCACTCCTTGATCGATATTCCTTCTAAATTTATCAAAACTCCTTTTTATTATTCATAAGTATTCAGTTTTGATATTGTTTGTTGTTTATATTGTCCTCTGTTTCTTCCCTTCCAGCTAGACTCTGTCAATCTGAGCTCAACTCTGTGCGCTTATCATCGCTTAACTTGGATGCTCCTTGATGCATCACTATCGCTTTATTCTCTTGTTTTTCCTGTTTAACCCATCAATCGATATTCATTTCACAACTCTGAGACTACAGAAAAAAAGGTCCGAAATTCATTTGGTATGCTTCCCAGATCATACCGAGGCCTGATCAGCTACCATTCCTAACATATGATGATGTGTGACGAAAACTTCCTATGATTTCCATGGCCCATGGCCGGACTCGGCTTTTGTAAGCCTTATTTTTAAATAAACCATATGATTATGATTATTGAGTTGAAAACAGCTCGAAAGAGAAACTGTCATTTGGAAGGATGAATTGTGCTCTGCGTTAGGGGATCATATCTTGAGGATACGCCATGAAGTCAACTTTCATTTCGGGTCATGGAAGCGTTTTTACCCGTATGGCATACTTACACTTACCCTTTAAATACTACTGTCATTTGGTGGTTAACAAGTTGAGGTAAATAAGAAGGGAAAGGGATGTGGGCGGATTCCGATCCAGCACTTCCAACAGAGTGCGGAGACGGGCAGTAGGAATGGTTTTGTGTAATCGATCCGCCGCACGCGGCTGTCGCGGACCATTTGCCTCATTATAACAGCACTAGTGTTCTTCATACAGCTCAATCGCTATGCGATTATTATTTTGGCATGATTCTACTGTTAGTTCTTTTGTTCCTGAATTTCTTAATTGCTGCTGCATTCTGATACATTCCTTCGCGTACGGCGTCTCTCTCGTCGTGACGCGACAATTTCGTCCCTACTGCAAAACACCCCGCCCTAAGAGATCCTGGCCAAGGTTATTGTTTTGGAAGGTAGCACATGGACAAAGATATTACTTTAATACATTTTATTTATAACGAATCAATAGGATCTGTTGCGTCAAAAAATCGATTAGCCTAAAATATACTCTCTATTAAGTTACAAATTGATCAACTCCTCTGAAGATAACAATCAAAAGCCAGAAGAGACCGAACTAGTACTATCGACAACACCATCAAAAAAATACCTACGGAATATTACTACATAACAAATGCACAGAACGGGCACTTTAAACATTTTCATATCACCTGATCTCTTAATAAGTTGAGAGTATAGGAAAAGGTAGTAAAACTAATGAAATGTTAAAGGCAGGAGGATATTAGGATCCATAGTGAAGCCGATCTACTGGAAGAACAATGCCGTCAAGCTCAACAACAGCGATAGGGCTATGACCAATGGGCTACGAGCTCCATTGCATGGTTCAGAACCCTGAAATCGCTAGAATTCAGAGAAAAGTGAAATTACCACATGGAGAAAGGTTCCTGTGGCCTATTTTCCTTGCTATTAAGCGTCGCGTATCGCAACGCGTGCGCATGTGCAACTCCGTCGCGTTTATTTTGCCATGATGACACCATGGAACACTATTCTCCAGAGAGGTCTATCTGGTTATTCAACGAATCCACTCAGGTAGGGATAAATTCATCTGATTAATCCAAGTACTGATTCAAGAATACGGTAGCAGGGTTCTATGCAGTTCTTCTCGTTAGGACATTCTGAACTCAATTTCACAGCAGCCCAGGATTCAATTGCTTTTTGCAAGATGCGGCATTTACACGAAAGATTGGATTCCATTAT